ATTTGGCAAAGCATCTGGAGCCCCAGTGGTTCAACGGTTTAGTTTCCAGAGGGACAGGATTAAAAAGCTAGCAGTTCCCAATTGACTCTAAGGATTAGTGAGACTGAAGATCTCTAGACATCTTTCTGTGACCGATCAACAGCCATTTAATTCAACGGTGCGTGCTGCAGCCAAGATGACATTTGAGGAAACCCAGGGTTTGTTTCTGTGGTTTAAAGAGGGCATTTCTTTACGGGGCTTCTGTTTTGCTCCGGACACTGCATGCATTTACAATGGTGCTCACATCAAGTGCCTCTGCAAAACTGCATCTTGGTAGATGTTCTGAAGAGTGATTGGCCAAGTGAATAAGCAATTATCCTTATCAGTTATGCTGATGACCTAGAGCAGGACTTGGTGATCATTTCATTCCTACCACTAGCTCCCAGGCAGCAATATTTGAGCTGGCCCCACTGGCCCTTCACCCATTCTTCCCTGCTCAGCCCAACCTCTTGTCCAAGCCTCCTCCAAAGGGTCTTGATGTCTCAACATGCCCTCATTCCCATCCATGTGCTTTCTTATTGCCTCAGCCCCAGGTGATGAATGAGGAACAGGGAGAAGGGAAAAGCAGTGATTGCTCCCGCTGATTGTAGTAGGATTTTGCCCAAAGGGTAGGGTAAATATTTCCACTGATAAGTAAGTTTTACAGTCTCATCTTCATACTGTCTGTATGAAGAACTTCACATTTGAGTCCAGAGTTGAAATGATTTCTCCCTCTCTCTATTATACTCACTCTTTTATCATCCCTCAAATTCGTGACTAACTGCAGAAAAGAAAAAAAGTAAAAGCAGTTTCACTGAAGTACAAGACACCTAACCCAACCTCAGGCCTCTTCTCTCATGGGCTTTCCAGACCATCCAGCTTTACTGAACACTCTTTATTCTGGGTTTAATAAAGCTCCATGGGGGCTCCAGAGTGAACCTTAGACTTTGTCCTCGCAATGAGGTAACTGCTGGTTATCTGGGAGCCAAACTGAGTGCTGGGTGCAGGAACATGAAAAAAGAAAAGAATATGGACATAGTATTTTATATTCAGAGCAGATAGGGAAGGAATAAGAGAGAGGGAAAAATACCAACTTGGCAGTGTTCTTCTGTTTATGGTTTTGGTTTTTTGTGTTTGGTTTTTGGTTGGCTTTTTTTAGAATCTGTGATTAGTGCTCAGTCAAGTGTGGAAATCGCAGCAGTAAATAGACTTTGGATGGGTGTTGATTTCCCAAGTCAAGGCTAAATTAAGCATTCATACACAGAGAATGTCTCTTGCAGTCTGGAAGTTGGGGGGGAGCTGCCCAGCATGTGCTGGGCACACAGCCCCTCCACAGCAGGGAGAGCCACTGGGAAGTACCACGACCCACCACTGCCTTCCTCTCCCAGCACAACCTGATTCCACTGTGAAGCCATCCTGGCAGAGACCGTGTCTTCTCCATCAGCACCATGCCTACCATGACACGGCTGTTTGGAAGCAATGATGTGGGCACTACTGCAGTGTCAACAGCTGTGTGTGACAACAAATAATATTAATTACAAATGCCTTCTCTGGCAAGAGCCAGAGGCAGTGCTGAGGGCAGCCTTGTGCCTGCCCTGATGTGGGCTGTGTTGGACCATGGAGCATTTCTGAAGTGACTTACTCTGAGCATTGAGACTTGCTGTAGCAGAGGCCCAAGCTAAGTATCACAAACATGACCACACTAAAGAGCAATTAGGTATTTAAAGGCATTAAGGGAATAGATAAGTATTTGAATCATTGCCCAGGCTCTTCTTGAGCACCATGTATGACTTCACAAGGTATCTGAGCAAAGAAAGGCTAATTGGCTGCCAACAGGGCACTGCCTATCAGCAGGCTTGAGTTGTTTCCCTGTTGATTATACTACACATCAAAATGTTTGTTATCACCACAGATACAGTGCTTTTTGCTACCTTGTTTAAAAAAAAAACAACAACCAAAGCACATTTTTACTGAGCAGGAGGAATGTCATAGAGAAATTCTTTCTCTTGATGTTGCTTTAAACTTTTGTTTGCTCAATGTCCTAAATAATCATAGACAGTTGAAGGAAGTGTGGCCGCAACCAAGGTATAAACTCATAGAGTGATTTCAGATTGAAAAAGACTGCATTAAAATATGCAGGGTACATCATGGTGAGATGTAGCATCACTTCTTATGCCAACTGAAAGAACCGGAAGTAACAAGTCACCTCCTCAAAACCAGCACTCTGTAAGCTAATTTGCTTGTTTGACCTTATCATACTCTACAACTACTCAACTGACAAGGATGAAGGGGAGCAGAATACTGCAACGCCATTGCCACAATATTTCCAGTTAATGAAACCACCATTTTCTCTGGTCAAACCAGAAGATGATGCATTTGTGGGCTGACAGAAGGGCCATGTGCTAGTCATTGTCTGCAGAATGCTGGATTGTGTGTTAGGAAGGACATATCTGCCATCTATGTCAGCAATGTGTCCTCCTGGGTCAAGGAACCAGTCAAAAGAAAGGATGAATGGCAAGGGTGACAAGGAAAAGATATCTGTGATTTTGCCATGGATTTGCCTCTCTTTGATGAGTTACAATGGTCTGAGAAGGAATCCACTGGCTGATGAGTGGTTGCATCCTGTGGCCAGATCAGTAGAGACTGAGCACGTTTCCTGGCCTGGCAGGCAGGGACTGGCTCACGAGGAGCTGAGCTGGTGCCACCAAAGGCAGAAAGCTCTCTGACCTGCCGTCCTCCTCCCCGCCTGTCTCCTCTGGCCCTGGGGGCCACCTCAGCCATCTGACTGGTCTTTCCCTGGGCTGATTCAAGTCACTGATTTTGAATAAAATAGAGCAATTGCTGCTGCTGCTGTTGGTTTTGGCTGGGCTAATTTTCTGTGGGTCAGTAAGCTGAACAGTCTTGTAGAAGGTCCCACCGCAAGCTCAGTCTACTCTTCTATGCAACTTCACCTTTTGCTGAAAGTCATTCCCCATATAATTTGGGGAGGGAGCTGAGGACTATTCTTGCCTGCTGAATGAGCACAGCTGTGTTGTGAAGCCCTGTGTGCAAGAGGAAAAAATCCTCAGCAGTTCCCAGTCCCGCTGCTGGATGTGGTTGTGACGGCATGTCTGCTTTTCATCAGCGGGTGCAGACTGGGGCTTTGTGGGTTTTCACTTTTTGGGGAATACCTGGGAGAAGGGGAACTGAACGCCAACAGAGTGAGAATTTCCTTGGCTTCCAGTGATTTCTTATAGTATATAAGCAATTGAAAGGGAACCAGGAAAGGCAGCAAGACGGGCTTGTATCATTGGAGTGAAAAATCTTAGCAAAGTCTCTGGGCTCCTGAGAAACATGCCAGTGCTGATTAACTGGAATTTCTCCCCAGAGATATCTTCCTGGTGAACACTCTTTGACTTGGACAGACACCACCAAGACATGAATAGGAGTGACCAAATATTTGCTGGCATTTTTTTTAAGCATGAAGTGCACAGCTGTGTGTCTGAATGTGACATGTAGGCGTTTGTAAGCATCTAGCAGTCATCTAAAAGTGCTGGGTTAGCCATGTTTCAGCTTCATTGCTGGGAGCAACAGTCACTTAAATTGGAATTGGTAGTGCCTAGGAGCCTGGTCCAGCTCCCACGGGGCTTGCTTCAGGGTGTCTGTACCCAGCACAGCCGCTGACAGATGGCACGGGCACAACAGGCTGGAGCTGTGCATGCAGAAGGGAGATGGTGTCACAGTCAGCACGCTCTGCTGTAATTCGGTGAGGCTGGCTTATCAAAGCCCTAGGAAAACCTGTATCAGGGCCAGTCACAGTAATCAGCTTGTCTCATGGGCTTTGCAATTACCCTTTCCTTACCGAAGCTGGGCTGGCACTTCTTTCTCCTTCAGCAGAGTGAAACGTGAGGCTGTGTTCAAAAGCCCTGAGGATGTGTGGGAATCTGTGCATGCTGCTGCAGGTACTGGATGCACAAAAGGATTGTGGTGCCTCTTAAATACCATCTACCTGCTAATCAGGTTCAAAATCTAGGTGCTAAAAATCTTTGCAAATCTTCATGGAGGCCACTATGGTCCTTGGATACTTCATTTCTGCTGAGCAAGTCCCAGGCAAGTCTGCAGAGCTGCTACTTCCTTCATCATGGTTTGTCTCACTGATGTTGCACAGGCTGGAGATACACTCATTGGCATGAGCCCTGTGAGACCCACTGTCACACGCTGAGAGCTCAAGGTATCAATGTATCTACCTGGACTGTTCCTCAACAGTTCCTGCTGGCCTGCCTTGGTGGGTCATGCTTCGTGTGCATGTCTCTGTAGGCACTTACCTCTTCACTGCTCCGGAAAAAGGAAAAAGCTGTGTGAGGACACACTATGGGGAACTTGAGGAGGTCTTGGTCATTAATGAGCAGCAGTCTACCATGAAGTTTTGATGCGGGGCTTCTAGTAATAGAGCATTTATTATGGGATGTTTTCTGCTTATTTACTCTTTGTGAATTCTCTGGTTGCTAATTTTAAAACTACTGTGGAAAACTATTAACATCATCAATGAGTCATATGAATGAAAATGTTGATGGGCTCTTGAGAGTTTAATGTAGCTTGCCTTGTTGATAAGAAATGAGAAACCAACAAGGAAGAACTCATTGCTTGCAGTTTCTTCCTCTCAGTCGCCTGTTCTTGGGGCTAAATTTGTTTATCAAGGCCTAAAATTTATGATGAGATGGCTCAGTTTTTAAAAACATATGCAAATGTTTCATGCAAGCTCTGGCTTAGCTGGGCAGAGTGTCAACATTGCAGTGTGTGCCAAGGGGAAGATAATTCAGTATTTCAAAAGGGGCCTTACATGGTTATTTGCTGACTCTTCTCCCAGCCCCCTTTGAAGAATCATGGACAGAAAAGTATAACATAAGTTCAGAAATGTTTTACATGCCACCTTATAGTGCTAATTGAATGCAGATGGTATAAAAGAACAGTTGTTTACATATCTAAATCTCATTCTCCTATAGGCCCTGCAATTCCTGTTGGGGTGGATGTGCAGGTTGAAAGCTTGGACAGTATTTCTGAGGTTGACATGGTACGTAGTCCTCTTTTAAGCCTCAATTATTTCTAGTCATAAAATGTCCCTCCCACTTGAAACCTGTGGGTTTCAAATCATTGGTCAGACGAAGGTAATGGTAGCATTTGGCAAATTCAAAGAGGCTGATATTCAGAACTAAAGACTTCATAAAACCAGGTGATCAAAGGCTTATCTCTGTATCTTCAGATAAAGATTAAAAGTATGAAGGAAAAAGGGACCTTAGATGTGAGAATAATCGGTGCTACAAAGGATCTATCACAACCAAAAATAGAAAGAGCTGTGTACAAAGGTTTGAAGGTATATGGTGAAGTTCACATAAGCCATGCTTACTGGAAGAGTTTTCTTCCTTAGGGAACCATTGAGGCCATATGTTTTAAAGGCATGATTCTGGGAGGCACATTAGAAAATTAAGTTGTAAACATAAGTGAGAAGTAGCTGCTCCTGCACTTCTCCCTGCTCTCTTCATCACTGGGAGAAACGTCACTGAGGACCGTGAGTGGGAACTGCCAGGGGCAACCTGAGCTGCCTCTGCCAAAGTGGAATGTGGTGTGAGGGAATAGTCTTTCAGCCACCAGTGATGCTATTCAAGAAATTTGCACCAAGTTCAACTGTGATTTAGCATCCTTATTTTTTTAATTAACTAAAAAAGAGGAATAAACACATGCAGTTGTTAACCCTCAACAGATTTCAAGGTGTTCCAAGCAAAAGGAGTGTTCATACACATTTTCCTGTTTAGTTTTGTTTGGTTTTTTTTACTACAGCAAATGGAATAAAAACACTGGAAAGAGAAGTGGAAAGGGGAATATAGAGGAGAAGAGGAAGCTTCTTGGTTCCTTCCTCCTTCTGCCTTTTCCTCCCTGTTCTTGGACAACTTCTCTGGTGTAGACAAAATACGAAGACTTAGAGGAAGAAGTTTAGGTTGATTGTTTTTCACTGTGGTGCAATTACACCTTCATTAAAACAAGGGAGCTTGCCTGCCTGGATATTGAAAGAGAAGGTTTGGAGGGATGCGTGCAATGAAGCACATGTGAGGGAGCTGTCAGCGCAGGAAATGGCTGTTACAAGGAGACTTGGGGCTCTAATATATCAAGATAATGTCATAGCAGCAAAGAGACCTAATTAGTCCAAGTAAATAACTTGCAATGCTTTCTGTCAGGAACGTCTGATTTCAACAAAAATCTTGTCAGTCAGAAAGCTTTGAGGTCAGTTCTCTCCCTTTGTTGTTGATAACTTCGCAGTTCTATTTTCCCGGCAGAGGACAAGTACTTTCCACAGCAGTTGCTGATTTATATTTGAGATGGAAGAACAGTCTCCCAGGTCAGTTTGGGTTATGTTGGTTTGTTTTTCCAGCAGTTTGTCCCAGCGTGGGTGTTCACAGAAAGGAGAATGGGCATTAAGCTGTCTGCATGGGCAGGGTAGCCAGGCTGGCTGTGCCTGCACCGGGGTGCCCTCCTCATCTCCCCGCTGCAGGCAGGGCAGAGCTGCAGGCAGGGCAAAACTGCAGGCAGGGCTTGTTTCAAACTGCTCTGAAGGATTAGTGGCCTTAGAAATTGGGTAACCTCGGTCAGGAAGTCTTTACCTACTGCTGCTTCAGCAGGCACCTGGTGCCCCAAAGAAGCACCAGACCAAAGCTGGTCGCTGCTGTGTCTGCTGGTGAGGGGTGGTCTCAGGGCTGCCCAGAGCATGGCACATGAAATGTGCTGCCAAAAGCAAGGCACTTCTGTATGCTCATTCACTGTGCCTCCGGCAGGTACTATCATTCTCTCAGTTCATCATAAAACTTGTTTCCTAAGGGATTTTCCTACTCATGAGTGGTGAAAAAAAACCCCTTTTCTCAGTGTACAACTAGTGTGTGTGCTGGTCAGAAAGGAACAAGCTGTCGGTGATTGCAAACTGCCTCATTTGACTCACGCTGTGAGAAAATATCTGTAAGTTGGATTTTGTACTTAGAAGCAGTCATCAGCTTCCAGTTGGGCTTGATGTTTGCAGCACTTGGAGCTCTGTGTGTTGGCCATTGGAGGCCTGTTTGGACAGGAGCCCTCTCCTTCTCCCAGGCCCTTCCAGGGGGGAACAGGAGCTGGCAGCATCCCTTGAGGGGAGCAGGGATGGAGGCTGGAACCACTCTGCCAAGGTGGAGGCCTGCATATGGGTGAGAAGATGTGTCTCTCCAGCAAGTGTCTGCCATGGTCAGAGAGGGAGCCCTGGTGTCCGGCCAGCTCTGCAGCAAGGCAAGAGTGGGCACTGGAGACTTCTTTAACAAATCTGTGGGAAAAAAAAATGTTGGCAGTGCAAGACTGTTTCCGGGGCAGCCCTTTGATATTGAGAGTCAGGTTAACTGATGGTTTGTCGTCAGCAAAGCGAAATGAAGTGGTGGTGGTGGTTTTAGAAAGCAGTTGCCAAGTGGTTAGGAAGAGATCCCAGCCTGTCCTGCTGCCTGCCCAGGCTTGGCAGCTGCAGCTCCCATAACCACTCACTTAATTGGGAATATAAAGAAAACAAGTGTATTTTATCTCTCAGCATGAGAGAGTAGATTCAGCTCTGAAAGCAGCAGCTGCCAGGTCGGGATCAACAAACAGATGTTTTCCTTTGTGTGACTGAAACTCCTGCTCCCTCATTGAGCTTAAAAGAGAGCTTTATTTTACATTTGTACAGTAGGAAAAATAGTTCCCTCACTTGGTTGCTGTTTGCAACAATTTAGTTATTTTGGGGATAAATTGCTTAGTGTTTAGCCTGACCATTAAACCGATTTTCCTCTAGAACACACTATCGATACCATAGTCCTTCAAGATAATTTTGCCAGGATTGAAGAATCCTTTCTGCAGGGTGATGCTTCTCTTGGGGCACGTACACATGCATCCCTTTTGGGACTAAACATTACTGGGCATTGTAATACATTGATTGGGGGTTTATATTTTGTTTTGCCTGAAATTATTTTGTCAAGAAAATCTACTCACAAAGAACATTGGTCCAGGGAAGAAACAAGAGTTGAGAGGGGAGGGATTTAATCTACCTAGTATGAGTGAGTTTTCTTTCTGGTGTTTCCTAGATGTAGAGCGCAACACTGACAGACCTCTCTCTGGTTCTCTTCCTTTTTCGTGAAGGATTTCACTATGACTCTGTACTTAAGGCACTACTGGAAGGATGAGCGTCTCTCGTTTCCCAGCACCACCAACAAGAGCATGACCTTTGATGGCAGGCTGGTGAAGAAGATCTGGGTCCCCGATGTCTTCTTCGTGCACTCCAAAAGGTCCTTCATTCATGACACCACCACGGACAACATCATGCTGCGAGTGTTCCCTGATGGTCACGTCCTGTACAGCATGAGGTAATGGTGTAGCACTGCTGCTCCCGAGCATCCCCCAGGGCTTCACTGTTAGTTTTGCTCCTGGCATGGCTTTGCTACCGCCAGGACTGCTACTGCCAACCCTGCTACTCCCACCACTGATGCAGAGCCCTGTTTCCAGCATGTATAGTACAAGATGTTTCACAGAAAGCTGTGAGAAACCATGCTGTGGGCAGTAACAGGATAATCTCCTCCCGGGGGAAGCTTTCCCCTAACTCTTTGCAGTCAGAGGAGGGCTTAGTCGAGCAGGAATGTTCGTCCCAGGGTCAGCGTGTGATTAAACTGGAAGCTGCTGATATACCAGATGGTGACCTCTATAATTATCTTATTTTGTTTCCTGTTTGTCTAGAAAAACTTTTTTTGTTAGTTTGTGGTTTTTGTGGCATGTTGATATGAAGGTTTAAGTTTATTGAAGCTGAAATGGCAACATTAAAGACAACCTGTAGTTCCTGATCTCCTAGCAGGTTTGTTGGCTGGAAGAATCCTCAGGCACTATATAACCTAAAGGGTTACCCAGCCTGCGAGCGTACAGAGATCATGACTGTGTGTTTGCAGGATTCTGTAATACGCAAGAACATGGAGGCTTTATCCTCTAAACTTCTCTACCTTATTATGGATTCCAAAAATACCACAAAAATCACCACTAGCACGTATACCTATTAATTAACAAAGTGAAAAAAATATGTATCATGCTATTACAAATTATTATCAGCAATCAAAAATATAGCATCAATCAATTGTATAGCAACAGCCAATAACAGCATAACGAAGTAGGTATGTTCTATTACAGGTTACTATAAACTTGCCATTAGTAGAGCAACTTATCAACAATATAACAGCAGATATACTTATGACAGTTTGCTTATATGGATGTATAATACTAGTATCAAGTGATACCATCATCTAGTGAACCAAATCATCCCACAGGTGGGAGGACAAACCAAAACAGCCCCAGAAGTGGGCCCAGAGGGGGATAACAGACAGAGTCTCACTTCAGAGATGCTCCATGTCACGGAGTCTGGCATCAGCTGGGCATCCACAGTGAGAGTCCAGGAGCTGGTAGAAAGTCCATGCCATGAATTCATCCTGTTTAGAAATGGAAAAGTACGTGCAGCATGGGAAGTTCTTAGGGAGAGAGGCTCCATTCTGAATAAAAATTAAGTCCTCCTTATACCACAGAGGCATAAGAGGGTGTAGGACACCACCACTTTGAACAGTCAATAGGTGTTGTTCATTTCTATTTTTCACCTGGAGCGGCCAATAGATGATGATGTTTTTTGTTCTTTCAAACCTATTTTTATTTTCCAGACTGTTTTGCACCTTTTCAGACAATAAGTTGCCATTACAGTCCCTTGTTTTTGCGCTTATCAATGATATCTCAGGATGTCTCAGGTTTCTAGGTACCCAGGGTCACTTCAGAGGCCACCTCCTCTTTTCAAGGATGCTGCAGCTTCCCAGGCTGGCAGCCCTTTCTCTGTCAATATTTTTCAGCGGACGTTTTCTTTTGCTCAGTAATTTTCCCCTTCTAACCAGGCCGCCTTTATGGCTGCTCACATCAGCATCCCAGCAGATTTTATTTTCTTTAGAAGAATGCAAAAAGAGATGCAGAAAAAAATACATCACCAGAGGAGAAAAGCTTGAAAGCCCAGACAAAAGGACATTTCCTCAGGACAGAAAACATGCTCTCAGTGAACAGTGACCTTTGTATGTTTTGTAGCACAAGGATTTCTGTTCTAGGATCTTTCTGGAACTTATTCACTTCAGTGATGGTAAAATAATTTTCAAAAACAAGGAAAGGTTTTTTATAAAGTTTAATTCGGGAGCCTATTTCTCTTTGAAGAACGAGCATAGTGCACCATATTGTCCCAAGCAGCACAATATCCCACCGTACCAGGGGGCTCTAAAGTTCACTGATATCATAGTCCAAATATAATTCTACTCAATTTATTAAAAAAGCCCCAACCTGGACAAATTATTAAAACCACAAAGAAATGCGTGTGTGTAAGAAAGAGAGTATGCACCCTATGACCACTTCATTTTGCCTGGTCTTAATGACGAAAATCCCATCTTGACCAAACGCTTAGGAACACTTTCTCTGTTCTGAACCCACTTAATAAATTCATTTATTGCATGAAAGGTCTAATTACTCATACCTTAACTAAGCACCTAAAGATGCTGTCTGTTTTATGAGAACTGGCTGAGAATGAAGGTGCCATGTAGCAGAAGTGACAAGAAGGAGAAAGAAAAATGAAGAAGGAGGTTAGCTGTAAGCTTGGGTCAGCACTGAGGGGAGAAGAGCAGGAGAAGGGTAGAGACCTTCTTGACAGAAGTTGCTTGATGTAACTGGACGTTCATTTCTACTGCTCACACCCCGCAGTTCTCATGTGCTGAAGCCAGCAGCACGCCACTTGTTATCAGTGCTCAACAACCAAAATGTTTTTTTAATGGAAAATATTGGCTCTGTTCAGATCTGCTCATTTGCCCACATGCAGAGTATTTACTTTCAAAATTTTCTGTGAGCTGTTGAGGAGGTGATGTGACTTTCTAATGTTACCCACAAGACAGAAAAATGTGAGTTAACCACAGCTGTCTGCACAGGAGTTAAATGGACAATTTGATATGTAAAATCCAAGGAGAATGAGAATCTGCATGGTATTTGGGCCTGGTGGTGTTTAGGACACTTGGAACGTGATTCGGCTGACCAAGCATGGATGTCCAGTGGCACTGGAAATGCCCTCAGGTGTCTTGAGATGTCTGCATGGTGTTGGCACTGGGCTGAGGGACATTGCATTCCTCATCTGGGCCTTGGGCTTTCAAGGCCACCGGAACACTGCCCTCTAATTGAGGAATATCTTATTGAGGAGCTCAGTTTCTGTGCTGTCCCTGACTAATGAATTGTTAATGACTACAAGTTGTGCCACAGTTTAGGTGACCCCAAGGAAAGAAAATAGCACATTGTAAAGAGACTGAGCTATACAATGCTACACACAACAAGGGCAGGTCATTGCTACAGTATATCTTCTGGAGCATATCTTGACAAAGCTTCTTCAAGTTTTGCTCATATGGCAAAATTTTGCTGTAGTTTTGTAATCAAAATGAACAGTGTGTGATTTTCAAGTGTGATGAGGGCATAGGTCAGAGTATGATTTGGATCACAATCCCTTGAACAGAAGAAAAGTTCTTTACATCTACAATGAATCTAGGAAATGGTTGTGGCCAACATAATTCAGTGTCTGAAATAATGACTCACAGCTGATTTGCCACTACTAAATTGGGAGCTCCACTGCAAATCTGCCCACAAGAGAAAGTTCACTGACCCACTGGAAAACTTGTTACATAATGTTGTACATAACTGGAGTAGTTTAAAAACTGGAGCTGTGATTGCTGCAGCTCTTTAGCTAAGACCCAAACTTAATGGAGGCAAATCTCACTCCTTGAAAAACACCTGCACCCATTTTACACCCCCTGCCCCAGAAATACATACCCCTGATTAAAATAATTTGGTCCAGGACTGGAAGACACTGCTTTGGCCTTAATAATGTATATACTGGAGGAATTTTGTGGCTTGCAATGAAGTTGGTCATGTTCCTCAGGCTTGGGTCATTTTTGGGGTGGCTATGGAGGGGACTGAGCAATAGAGAAAATGAGGAAGCCTTAATCAAACTGGGAACCTTTGAATGTGTATGGTGAAGTTATTTTATGTTGTTGCCTTATAGGTAAATAGTTGGATGTAAAACACAGTGGAAGTATCTGTACTGACATTAGTATTACTGTAATGTCCAAGATAGTACTTTAGTTCCTTGACAGGTTACAGCTATTCCTTGAAATTACAGCTTTCTTTGGAGTTTCTGTGTATAATCCATCTCGTTTGGACCTGGAGAATTGATTGGCATTGTCCTGGGGATTTTATGGTAACACTATGCATAATTGGTGGCTTTAAAGCTGCAGAATGATTTATCTGAGTTAATGTTCTCCTTTCGATGTTCCTCATAGAAACCAACATTTCTCATTTTCGATTTCTAGGATCACAGTGACAGCAATGTGCAACATGGACTTCAGCCGCTTCCCCCTGGACTCTCAGACATGTTCTCTGGAGCTGGAAAGCTGTATGTTATATCTGTGCTAATAGCTAGACATGCTCCATGGCTGGCTGCACACACATAGACTGGGCACATTTCAGAATACAGTCTATTTTAGAGCCTGAAAAAATAGTTCACCAGAATTACTAGGAGTCTTTCTATCAACTTACTGTGTTGTATATCTAGCCCTTATGCTGCGAGACAGGGTAATTTGCAAGGAAAGCATCCTTGTATGAATTTTGTAGGCAGCACTTTCAGGCAGAAAAGTTCAACATATATACTAGTTCTCAGCAGCTTGCTGATCAGAAATTTGGGAGAGAAATTTTGGTCTGTTCATTGCTTCTGACAGGAAGGTGGTGCTTTCAAGTGTCACAGTAAAAAGATGAGTATAATGATAACTGATTTTCTCTAATTTCATTACCAATGTAGTTTATATATCATAGAATGTTGACCCTGCAAACACTGTGACTTTGGCTCAGCTTCTTTGGGAAGTTGTTCTGTGGAGAATGCAATGGCTGTTCTGTAAACTTTCTGCAGGGTGTGACATGACTAACATCTAATTGTTTTGAGGTCGTCCGAGCTATTTAACTGTATTTTCCTCTACAAACAACAGAATCACAGAATCATGGGGTAATTTAGATTGGGAGGAGAGTTTTAAGTTGGTCCTGAGGTCAGCTGGTCCAATACCCTGCTCAGAGTAGGGAGAACTTTATAGCAGGTTGCTCAGGGCTGTGTCCAGTTGGGTTTTTAACATCTCCAGGATAATGGAGGCTCCATAACTTCTGTGCAACCTGTTCAAATGTTTGACAGCCCTCATCCTGAAAAAGTTTCCTTTTACCTGCTTGGAAAAAGTCCTTTGCTGCAGCTTGTATCCCTTGCCTCTTGTCGTTTTGCTCTGCATCTGAGAGAAGAGTCTGAGAAAAGCTTGTCTCCATCTCCTGTATGACCCTCAGTAGGGCAGCAGTTGGACCCCACCAGACTGCTCTTCTTGCAGCTGAACTAACCCAGCTCCCCCAGCCTCTTGTCTTATGGCATGTGCTCCAGCCCCCTGACCATCTTGATAACCTTTTTTTTTTTAAATTCACCACTCCTCCTACCTAGTGCACTAATTCTTTAAGTTTTCATTTACAGTCTTCAAATATTTCTAGACTTTTGCTTCAGATCACACCTGTCGCTTTTGCTTTTATCATTCTAAGATAGTTTGAGGTGTCTGTTTCCACTTCCTCTGAATTCAGGTGTTTATGCAGGTGACTGTTTCCTGAGTTATTCTTACCAGTTAGCAATACCTTGTCTATGATTGTCTAGCTGTCATTTCATCAGTGTGGAGTAAAAAGATGAGTTTCCCTGAATCAGGATGACCAGGATTTTTTGTTTTGTTGTTGTTGTCATGGTATATCATATGCCAAGATCTTTTTAACTTGCTGTTGTTAGCAAACTTACTTGCGGCATTACTTTATTCCAAAGATGCTTTTGTGTTTGTTAATTTTGTCCTGATCTATTAACTTTTTTTTCCTCTCCATGCTAAAGCCACACTACCTTGTGTTTCTTGTTTTACTAAGATGCTTACACTGATGAAGATCTGATGCTGTACTGGAAAAATGGGAATGAATCTCTGAAAACCGATGAAAAGATTTCTTTGTCTCAGTTTTTGATACAAAAATTCCACACTACATCAAGACTGGCTTTCTACAGTAGCACAGGTATTGGCCTTTTCTAATTTAGTGCTATTGTTAAAGCTAATACTGTATTAACTTCTTGTGAGAGAGCTTTTGGGATTTCATGTCACTGAAATGGAGTCTCCACAGTCTGGACAATACATATTTTGAAAGATCAGTTTCTCTTCTCACTACCCTTTAGAAATAAAAGATCAAAAGAAAGATCTTGCCTCTCTGTGCCTACCATCCAGGCTGTTCTCACTGATTCTGGCTTTCCTCCTCTCTCAAAGGTTGGTACAATCGCCTCTACATAAACTTCACTTTACGCCGACACATCTTTTTCTTCTTGCTCCAAACCTACTTCCCCGCCACGCTGATGGTCATGTTGTCCTGGGTGTCCTTCTGGATTGATCGCCGAGCAGTTCCTGCCAGAGTCTCTTTGGGTGAGAGCAACTGCAACAAGCCATGACTGCGTGAAAATCTTTGAACGTGAAAATTTTGGCAGGAAAGGGAACTGTTCATTTTGATGGTTAAAGATATCGGGCAAGCAGATGTTTATTTTATCTGATGATTAATATAACATAAAACTTGCAGTTTGTCTTAAGTCCTTCATCACTAAGCAGTCCTCCTGATCTATACTTAGCTCAGGACAGAAAGGGCTGTGGTTTTAAAAATAAAGTTTGGCAGAGAAGAGACGTTTCAGTATTTATGAGTCAATAAATCAAGTTTTTTCCTTGTTGTCCAGTCCTGCAGTTCTGAGATATTACCATAGGTGAGGGTAGAGTTTCACAGGAGTTTAGGCACCTACAGGGAGTCTAAGGCTTCTGTTACAATTTTCATGAGAGCCTTTCATGAGCAGGATCCTGCTGTGTCCCAGTTGCCATAGTGGGTGTCCCAGCCCAGGTATGGGTCCTCCCAACCAACTGGCACTGGTGCCATAGGTGGTGGCCTTCTCCAGGCTGCCTGGAGCGTGCTGTTGTGGCACATCTTCACAAAGTTGGGAAAGAAAGGCAGCAAGGGATCTAGTCCTATCAGCACCTGCAGATTTAGGTGTCACTCCATGTGGTGTGCCCCTGGGGACAGTGAGGGCATCTCTAACATCAGGCTTCAGACAACAGCGAGGCAGTGAAGGGAGCGTGGCTTTCCTCTCACATCTGCAGTGCTGAGGGTGAGATGCCACCAGCCCCGAGGTCAGGCAGAGGTTGGGTTTCTCCTCTTGAGGAGAAACTGAGGGTCCAACACTTATGGGATAGGGAGGTCTTTCATTTGAGGGAATGGGAAAGCGAAGAAGATGCTGCTTGAAATTCCTGCGCACACCAATATGCCTCTCTGGACATCTAAAACCCATCAGGAGGAGGCTTTGTCTGCCTCTGGACCAGAGGAAATTCTTTCAGCTGAGCATAAAAAGAGCCAATTTGTTTATCATTCCATGCATAGTTTGGAGGAAGGCAAAAATGTAATAGGAGGAATCTCTGAATGTTAAGATGTAAGGCTTCCAATACTAAAAGCGTAAAAGCAGTATTTTAGCCTACAAGTTTGTCTAATTTAGAGAGCTATGCACTGCAGCAAACATATGAGAAGAGGCAGTCAAGAGCCTGCTCTACTGAAAGAAATGCGTTCAGTGGATATTATTTAAAAAAATTAGATCCTGATGAAAAGTGAACAATGGTAGCTGTGTTTACAGTGGTCACTGTTTTGAGATGGCTGAAGTAGTTATGAATGCTTTTTGGCTCTGTTTTCTCTATTTAAGTGGCTTTAGGAACTTGTAAATATTTTTCTCTCCATGACAATTCAAAGTATATACTAATTTGCAGGATTTTATCTACATCTGTCTAAATATATATATGCATACACATATATATACATATTCATACACATATATGTATATAACCATAAATACACACATGTATGTTTATAAACATGTACACATGCACACATCTATATATATATTACAATGTTTGTTGTTCAAAACCTTTTGTTTCCCACAGCTTGAACTGTAGACAAATGTTCCTAGAGGTAAAAACATAATGCTTTTCTTTTTCATGGTTTCATGCAAAAAATTTTCTCTTTATTGCACGTCTCTTTACAGATCAGTGATTTAGATCCAATCCTCTTCAGCTGTGATCAAAAGTCAATACTAGGTTGCTTTCTGGCAGTGTCTGTAACACAGATTGGTACAGCTAGGAAACAGGAGTCCTTGACACCATTGGTCTTAGCAGACCTGACTCTAAGCACTGTATTAAAATCCTGGAGGTTAAGGAGGGAGTTAGATGCTGTTCCTAGCAAAATGATGGCTGCTTTGTTGTTCCTCAAAACTAAACCCATCATGTGCACCAAAGTGCAGACAGTGGAACAGTTATGCATTGGCAGGAGAGATACCTATCACAAGTTTATTTCATACCTAACATTTTTTAGAGCATCATGTAAAGCATAATTTCTGTTTTTCTTCAGGCAAAAGACTGTATCAGTCAATAACATTTATTTCTCTTGGTTCTTTCCAGGGATAACCACCGTGCTGACCATGTCTACGATCATCACTGGGGTGAACGCTTCCATGCCCCGTGTTTCCTACATCAAAGCAGTGGACATTTACCTGTGGGTCAGTTTTGTGTTCGTCTTCCTCTCGGTGCTGGAATACGCGGCAGTGAATTACCTGACTACGGTGCAAGAGAGGAAAGAGAGGAAACTCCGGGAGAGGGTGAGAAAAAAATTTTGGTTTGTTCATCCATTTATTCCTTTTTGTCTTACAGCTGATCTGGTCTTTATATTGACTGGGTTGTGTCTGTAAATGGGAAAACATCCATGTGCATATAATTGGATCTGTTTAGACTGCTCTGCCTTGGGCTGAATTGCTAACACCAGAAAAAAAAGTAGTTGGTCTCATGGGTCTTCATAGAAACATCAGAGAAGAGGAGAGCATGACCTGAACTGGGGAAGATTGCAACCTGGAACTGTGTGGGGATGACAGAGGGGAAAGCATCAAATCTGATACTTCACTGCAGCTGCCACAATTGCTATATTTTTAAGCTAAAGGTGTTAATTGGGTGCAAATTCATTTCCCCCCTCTACAGTCAGCTTTACTCTGGAAACTGGATTCAATGGCTGTTAACAGTGGAGTTGTTCCCCATTACCAAACACAAACAAGAGTCAGCCAAGTTTATGCTTGTACTTTTTAATGTGCTATGAAAAATCTTATCCTGCATCCTTGGAGTTTTTCAAGACCTGACCAGATACAGCCCTGAGCAGCCTGGCCCTGCTGTGAGCAGGAGATAGGACTAGAGACATCCTGAGGTCCCTTCCAGCCTGAATTATCCTACAGACCCGTGAGCCCTTCTTCTTTGTAATTAAACAAAACACCATCACCTTTTGAACACTAAGGCTCGGAACCAAATCTTTTCAGTCCCCACACACCCAGAATGTCATGTTGTACAGCTTCTTTCTTCCCATTAGGAACTTACCATATTAGTTCACAGGTAACATTGGTCATGTACTGCCTTTGACTCCTGGAGAAATTTGTGTCAGCCTTTCAGAAATGCCAATGCAGACATCCTCTTTCATATGATTTGGCTGTGACGTTTCCCACTCTGAACTACTCTGTTGGCTTTGCATGTCCTTCTCTTCCCCTTCCACATCTTCCTATGACTTCCTTCAAGTACAGAATAGACCACCTATCAGCCCAGTACCTTTCCTAGTTGACAACTCATCAAAAATTTAGTCAGATATACACTTTAAAAAGAGGTTGGAATAAATTCAACAGACTCCTGTGACAAAATTTTACCTCTCTCCAAGGCCTTCTCAACAATAGTGTGATTCTGGAAAGCTGCTTGAACAGGTCCTGAGTATCTTGATTTATCTATGCCCCCATCCTAGTCCCCACCCAGGGCCCAGCAGTTCTCTGCAAGACCAGGTAGAGATGCTCTGTGCAAGCACAGCAAGTCAAGTGTGTCTTACCTGCTGTGCGTGAGCAGTGATCCGTGGCCTTTTAGCCAGCCCTGCTCAGACTTCCCGAGTCCAAATAACAAAAATCATCCTTGCTAGGTTTGACTTGCCTAAAATAAACCTGCATTTTCTTTTAAAAGGCAATAACCCCTCTCCTTTGTCTTTAACTGTATTGGAGGGATGAAATGAACTTGAGAGGGTTTGTTACTGTTATGCTAAATTTTCAGGAATGTTTTCCCACATCCAGTGATGGCATAGCTTGTAATTTATATCACAACTCTGCCCTTTATTGAGTCTTGTACATTTAATTCTATATTTAGCAAATGGCTTTTTACTACCCAAGGTAAAATATTCTATCCAGTCTTCAGTGGTGGTAATGGGAACAGAGATAATAAACAGCATTATCTGAGGGGATTGCAGCAAAATGTAGGTGAGCACTCTTGTAGAAGCAGAAGAGACATTTCTCATGGTAAATGTAGATCTTGTCAGGTGATGCTGATTCCCTATGAAAGACCCCCAAAATCCTAATGTGAATATGTTAGGCTGCCCAGGGAAGAGCTCTATGTTGTGTCTACATTAAGAAATTAAAGGCTGATGGGCATGGAGTATCTAAAACTACCCTCCTTTCCCTCAGAATTGGAGTGGTTGCTGTGAACTGCCTGTAGCAAATGGTCTGTGGCCAATGCTTATTCCCAAACCGTACCTGGGAGCTTTTTGGTGCTTGTTGACCAGGACAAAATTCAGGCCAGAGACATTTCTGACACTCTAATAGCATTGTCAATTTAGTTCCCATGCCCAGGGAACGTCATTGACAGTATTTAATTCATTGGTGTGAACATAGACTGAAATTGTTGCAGGGTGAAATTATGTAGCATACTTCTGCATGTATGTGCCTATGTGAAGATGGATGTGATTTAAGACTCTGCGGAGTTGGGTTTCTAGTACGTTAGGCTCCCTTGTCCATAGGTGTGACTGTCATCACATGTACATGAAGCCATGAGAACTGCTGTTTGACCTGGAGGCTGAGAGTAAAGCTGCAGGATTTCTTTCTCTGCTGGGTCCTGCAGCAATTAGCTTACCGTTGTTTTAACCACTTTCCCTTCCACCCACCCACCATCTCCTGGACTGTCATCAGTTGATGATAAAGAGCCTGATGTAGTTCTTCCCTGTGGGGTTTTTTTGTGGCTTTCGGGTTAGTTTTTTGGGGGTTTTTTTAGGTACACCTGCTTAGTATAAAAATATGTCTTAAAACCCAACTGATGTTCAGCTGTACCCATGGAGTGGTGAAAAAAATTCCTGGAGTGGTGGGTCTAACAAGTAGAGCAAATGGGCTACAAACTTATCATGTTTTTCTGCACACAGTCTGCTGATACCAAATCATTTGGTTATGGCTAGAACACAGAAAACACTTCTTAAGTTGATTTTTCAGGTTTTTGGTAAGCGACGTGATCTGTTGGTTAAATAATTCGAAGAAAAAGCCTTCAGTGCACAGTTTTCCAATGGCATCCTGAATATTACATGTTCAGATATATACATGTTTTTTTATATATATATGTTCTGGATATATGCATTTCTGTGTATATATACTTAATTATTTTAGCTGAACTTATCCTTGAAAACAAGTCCTTGGAAAACCGACACATCAAAGTTGGTGGAGGGAGGAATTGGGGGGTCAAAGTATTATTGGGTAATGGGGAACCAGAGGCAGGAACTCCTAGCAGAAAGGAGGTTTTGGAGTCCATTTTCGTTGCATACAAATATATAAACCATATTGCTGGGACAGAAAACCTGCAGATTTTAAACAGTAGAAGACAGTATTTGCTATTCAAAATTCTATCTGTATTTATTGATGTTTTTAGACTTATGGGACACATGCAGGTGCTGCTGAAGTCAATGCAAGTTTCGACATCATTGACTTCAATAGAGCTGGGATTTTACGTTAGGATTTCTTCTAACTGGTCTTCTCCTTGGTTTAAAATCAAATTTACAAAGAAAACATGTGTATCTGTGAAACCAGAACTTGGCCCTTTTTTTTTTCCATAACATGTACCGGATAAGCCATTTCCACAGATAAAACTGCATCCTGTCCTTGAATATTTATAAACACAAAGGCTGCAAAATAAGGAATCTCAAGACAGCAAGGCTGAACAGAGCTAGCTAAGAAAACCTTTCTGTTGGTTTTTCTGTCTGCTAAAGCATTTTTCTAATCTTTTCTGAAGCTGCTTGTCCAAGCAGTGTATCTAAACCATGTCTCTTCCTTTTGGAACAGAAGCAAAAACAAACAAAAAAAAAAAGTGGCTTTTTTGTTCAAAGAGAAACTTGTAGTATCTCAACTAAAATTTCAAGCTCAACTGCTTACCAGCTGTCTGTTAATAGAAAGACATAATTTCTGTTGCTAATGTGTTCTTCCAGTGTTCAGCTATATTTCTCGTTTATGTTCCTAGTTTCCATGTACGTGTGGAATACCTCATTCAAAAACTATGATGCTGGATGGAAACTACAGTGAATCTGATGCCAACAGCCTGGCAGGATATACAAGAAACCAGATGGTCCCAGAGGAATTAAAACAAGAAAAGATGGTTGTGCACTTAGCTATGAGCAATGAATCTAATTCATCAAGGAAAAGAGGCCTGAAGGGCCATGTGGGCTTACGCATCATCCAGAACACTCATGCAATTGATAAATACTCAAGATTAATATTTCCAGGCACCTATATATTTTTTAATTTGATATATTGGTCTGTTTTTAGCTAAGCATGCTGGCACAGCAGTGGCTGAAGCAGAAGACATTTACGAAACTCTTTTGTTGCTTCTTTTTCAGTCTAACCTGGATCCAAAGCCAGAAAACTTAGTACTTTATTGCTTCTTTGGAGGTAAAGGGGAGGACACATCCTCCAGCAAACAACTCCATGTACAGGCATCGTGGAGGAACCTGCTGTGCTGGTTGCTTTCCAATCCACACCCCAGCTCCCATTTGCTTTATGACACATGTCATTTCTCATACTTGAAAAGATCTGCTCACCATTTGCCCAAAAGGTGCTGTATGTTCATTTGGGGCCAGCCACGCTGGTGGGGCCTGCTGTGCAATGGACAACCAGAGACAGTGCTCACGTGGCCTGTCAGGGACTGACAAATGCAACTTGCAAGGGGAGGTCTGGACAGCGCATCTCCTGTAAGGGAACTGAATGAGGCCTTTCCTTTTCAAAATCTCTGCTTTTGAGCAAATCCTCTTATTTTTCTTTGACATATGAACATCATATTTCTTTCTATTGGCTTATGAAGAAGACCTCCTTTAGGGTCCAAATTCTGCTTTCTCTGAATAGGACCTTCATTAATACCATTAGATCAGTTGACTGGCCAGGATCGGTAGGGTTGGTTACAGAGTGCAGGTGGTATGTTTGAGTCGGTGGTCATTTTTTTTCCAGATTAGAAGTAAGGATTGATGATGAGGCAGAGCAAAGAAGCTCACAGACTCACAGAAGATGGCTCCCAAAGTACATGGGTAATGAAAACAGGGAGGTTTAGGTATGTGTTCTCCATATAACTTGAGCACAGCACATGATATGTGGCACCTGCCCTCTAAAATGAGAGGGGAAGCTGATGTGTAGCATATACAGTCAGCACACGGTGAACGGGCAGTGTCTCTGGGACCATCGCTTTCTCTCTTCAGAAGCAGAAGACAGTGTTGAGGGCAGCACTGGTGGCTTTCAAGGATTTTCCTCACCCCTGTGAGGAAAGGGCAACCCACAGAGAAATTGTATATCCCAATGTGCCTCTCCCAATCAACGCATTGTCCTTCTGTTCAGGCATTTTGGATCAAGAGGGAGAGATGTCTTCCAGAACCTCTCTGCAGAAACACAGGCATGTCAGAGATTAAATGGCCATACTGTGGGATTCAATGAGACCCTGCCTAGCCTCTTGCTCCAGGGTTGATGTAAGTCCTTTGAAGCTGTTGGAGACCATTGTAACAAGCTTCTGTGCTTGGCATTTCATTTTTCGTCCTGTGATATCTCCCTTTCCTTTGCTGACAACACTGACAGCAAAACCCAAATGTAGAAACATGATAGAAAGAAGACAATGATATCCAGGTTTGCGTGCTCCTTATTTTTAGAAAACACCATGACTTTTGGGCTGTAGTGGAGATTATGTTCATCAAAACATTTGGTTACCAAGCTGAAACTCAGGAGGGTGAAACAGAGCCTGAAATGTGAAGACCCAGGACTGAGGTTAGGAGCTGACTCAATGATGAGACTAAGTTACACACCTGACTGGGGACTGGGTCATGAAGATTCATATAAATAACATGAATAAAGGAAAAGCAAACAAAAATACTAAAAAAACTGTAACTATTTGTTGGCATGTGAAATTTTCTGCTTAATTGTGATGTCCTAAATCTCAAGGGAAGTAGAAGATGGCAGGGAAGTGTCAACTCCAGGCTGTCAACACATACCCAGGTTTTTCCTTGTGCCTCAAATACTGCTGCCTAAGTCACACTGATTTACTGGAAACAAAATTGATGAGAGAAACTAAAATAAACAACTGTGTTCCTCTTTCGTTAGCCACGTTAATAAGTGACATGAATGGACTTCTGGTCTGGTCATAAAAGTAAGAAAATACAGCCCTGAAATCACTGGCAAGAAGAGGACCCATGGAAGGACAGCATCTGAAAGGAAGGATTGCCCTGTATCCCACCTGCCACTTCTCTCCTGAGCCACCAGGTCAGTGCATTTGCCACCCATGGCTCTCCTTGGAGCTGAAACCTGGATATTTCTCACATCAACAGATGGAGGTCACTAAAAAAAGATACAAAAAATATTAAAGAAATAGCCCACTCATCTTTTGAGAGGTTAAAGCCTGGTTAACAGTATGCATTCTTCAGCATTTGCAGTTTTGAGTGTAAACCAGGAACCAATGCAACAGCTGGCAGGAGGACAGCACAGTGAAGGGACCTTTGCTGGGGGAAGGCAGCAAAACTGCACCACAAAGTCACCATTAGTCACAGGGAGTGAGAAGCTTGGTTCCTGTGCCCCCCGTTTTGTCAGTCTTTCTGCATTACCCATGGCACATGCCACTCAACCTCTCAGTGCCTCATCTCCTCCATCTGGAAAGTGGGGAGCAATAACATTTACCTACCTCACGAGGTGCCGAGGGGCTTAACTTGCTTAACTAGCACGTGTGTGGGGCATGGTTATGATTTCTGAGTAGGTCACCCAGTGGGAATCCGAACGTTTTTGTCTTAGTTATCAGTGAGTTCTTCAAATGTGTCCTCTGAATCAGTCCAGCTGGAAGAAAGGGGGTATCTCCCCCGCCTCATAATGATATTAAGCCAGATAACTCCCCTGCATTATAATGATATTAAACCAGAGATAAAAGTAGCCCAACAGCCAAAAAGTGAGCACTGTCAATGAATAATGCCTCCTGGCATACAAAAAAAAAAAAAAAAAAGAACTCCTAGTGCTTCACTTTGCCATTTGTTTTTATTACATCTCATTTTTCCTTGGAAGTTTTGTGGAGACACAGACAGTCCTTCAGATCCTATCATCTTTGTACTACTGCTGCCTGTAGTTTAAATGCTAGCTAATAAACATTTTTTGGAGAGGCCACCTTATTGTTATCTCATGTGCACGTGTACATAACTGATAGAGATTGATGTCTGTTTCTACCGGACACAATTATACAGCCTATAAAACCATCAATGTTTCCATTAAAGGAAAAAAAGTATCTCTACCTTAGGCACCACTTATTATTCATCAAAACAAAAGATGAAAAATATAAATGCAAATAAACCCAAGACACTCCTTCAGGCAGCATATGAATTGTATTTTTCTGCTTATTGAAAGGAGAGTGGCTAGGCATGAAACTAGAACAAATATTTGAAGTGTGGTACTGAGAATGTATTTCACCTTTCATCTCCTCTGGTTTAACAAGAAGAGAGAAAATGTTAGCCCTGCTCATTCTGCATCTGGCTCCATTGTACTTTTACTTACTTCTAACCAAATCATGTCTTTGAAATAAAGTAACTCTCTCTATAGATATGTACACATATGTATAATGTTTATAACACATATGTACAATGTATATGCAGGTAGCATATAACGAAGGAAGACACTGAGACATGTACCTATGTTAAATAGTGTACATATGTGAAAATGTAATATATTGTATGTAAATTACCAATTATTATGCCCAGAAAACTTACTATGTTGAATTGAAAAAAGGTTCTTGATGCCAGCCAAGAGCCAAGATATGAGGCATTGGCAAAAATTATGGGTTCTTTCATGTTTTCCTTCTGAAAAAGGAAGTGTTGAGAAGTTTGCAAGAAAGGCTGATGCTAACCTGGTTGTACAATGCATACAATCCACTGTCCTGATTGTTGTAATCAAACCTTGTAATAAAATAACAGATGGAAAGGGTGGAAAAGAGTCCATTTCATGGTGCAAACTTTAAAATGTGATTTTAATTCTCTTTGGAGATCTGTTACCTATGAGCTAATGCCCAGGGGTAAAGGATTTGAATAAACACCTCCTTTGTAATTGATTTTAAATAAAAAACATCGCAAAAGGTGGGAGAAATGCAGTGGAAGCATGCAAGTACTTTGAAGTATGCAAAGCTCCTTGGGAAAACTGAGCTGTTAATTACAGCTATAAGCTACAGAGACCTTTTGTGAAAACTGCAGCCCACAACTGAAGACATTTTCATAATTACTTCACATTTAAGGGCACATTTTCAAAAGCCCAAATGGCAGGTATATATCTCAATCTCTATTTGATTATAAATGAGAACTTGTCATTTTATTCCTCCTTTGTGCCTTTGAAAAGATTGTCTCCACGCTTACCAATGGCAGATAAAACCGTGCTGAGGTCCCGGCTGCCCGATCTCAGCTATTATCCCTAATGCAGACAATGGGACTAAATGCACACGGGCGAGGCTGACACCATGACCACTGAATAATGGCTATTGTCTGTCAGATTTCCACAATGGAGAGATTACAGCAAGGTACAATCTAAGTAACTGAGATGCTGCCCTGCTGAAATATAAAGAACAGAAAAATGTATTTAAAAACCAGCAAGACTTTAGCACTATTAAAATTAAAATGTAATCCAGTCTCACACTAAGCTGATTAATTCCTTTGCAAAAATTGACATTTGAAATAATGTATCAGGGTCATTACTTTCCTGGTCAGAGGAATTACCATTTCAGATGAAGCGAGAAGGGTGGGGAGGGAAATCGTGCACAAGCAGAGGGCCAGGCGCTGCTCTCAGCATCCAGTTTTTGCAGTGGTGCAAGGGTGATTGCCAGCCTGAGCAGAGCCTGCTGCGGAGGCAAGGATCGCAGGACCCAGCTTTCCCAAGGCGCTCGGTGTCTGGGTACCATGCATCACCATGTAGCACTCCTTGATTTGAGCAAGAAAAAGCTATCCTCTGCCAGATGTGGTGGAATCCCCACCAGCCGTGGGGCAGTGGTGAGGGGTGGTGTGGTGCAGGTGATGCAGCTGTCTTGGCTAGACGTTTGGGTTCAGTTCTGGCCATGTGTGTCATTAGCTGGTCCCTAGCCAGGGTTTCACACAGGAGCCACATGCCTGCAGCAGCCCCAGGCAGAGAAACACGGGGCAGAGGCCCCTCCACATCAACCCAAGGACATATGTACAGCACCCAGGTGCCCCCCTCACCTCCTGACTCATCCTGCCAGCGTCAGAGAGATGGGAGCTACATCACTGGCATGTCACGAAAGGTGTCCTCCAGCCCTCCTGTTGC